AAAAAAAAAAAAAAAGAAGAAAAGAAAAAAAAAGGAATTAAAAACTGAGCACAGAAGCCTGGCCAAAACGCAAAGTGCCTGGTGAGGAGTGTTGGGCCCTGCATGTTGCACTGCTGCCTTGCACTTCCCAAGCACTCAGCAGTGGCAGAGCCTCTGGCAGAGGGTGCTGGGGGGGGACCCTGGTGGTGGTGAGGGCCAGTGGAAGACGCTGGGTGAGTCCTGCTGGGCCTGAGGGTCTGTCCCAGCAACCAGCCTGGAAGCCTGTTTTTAGCCCCCCACTTTTTTCCTGGCCCTGGTGCTTGTCCACTTGGTACATGCAGTCTCCAGGGATTGCATGTCCTTTCCCTCATTGCTGGCTCTGAGCCCCCTCCCAGGATTTTGGTTTTGGGGGGAACCACAGAGCAGCCCTTTCTCCACCTCCTCCAGCCCTGGCACCTCCCCACTCAGGACCTGTGTGCAGCCCAGCCCCTCTGCCTCCGGCCAGGTGGCTGGGCAAACTGAGCCGATGTCATTTCTTGCTGGCCCTCCTCTACCGTAGGCGTGGGATCTCAGGGTGCAAGGAGGTGACGATCAGCCTAGCCAGCAACCCACCAGCATGCCTCGAGCATCGATGCTGCCATGGTCACTGCTGGGCCTACCCAGTGTGAAGGCATCAGTCACTGCTGGGTTATTTGTAACCGTGCTCTGGAACCTCAAGTATGTTATCAACTTGTCTGACATCTTCAGTAAATCCCCCAAGCACACTAAACCACTGATGATCCTGGTCTGGGAATGGCCCTCCAAGCAGGCCCCAAACATTAGCACGGACATTTGCAGAGACCTCTACAATATCATGGGCTGCAGGGTCACCTTGGATCGGGGGCTCCTCGGCCAGGCAGACGTGGTGGTGTTCCACCATGATGTGCTCCAGCAGAACAGAGACAAGCTCCCAAAGGAGAAGCCTCCCGGGCAGAGCTGGCTATGGGTGTCCCTGGAGTCTCCCACAAACACTAAAGCTTTAGCAGGATGGAAACAAACCTTCAACTGGGTCATGACATACAGACGAGACTCTGACATCTTCATTCCCTATGGCAAGCTTGTGCCCAACTGGTCAGCCACTGTGAACATCCCCAGGAAGACCAGATTGGTGTCCTGGGTTATTAGCAATTATCATAGGACTCAGAAAAGAGCAGAAGTCTACAAAAACCTGTCCAGGTACCTCCACGTGGACATATATGGGAAAGCAAACAAAAAGCCACTTTGCAAGGACTGTCTCTTGCCAACATTGTCCAAATCCAAGTTCTACCTCGCCTTTGAGAACTCCATCCACCGGGACTACATCACTGAGAAGCTCTGGAGGAACTCACTGATGGCTGGCACTGTGCCTGTGGTGCTGGGCCCCCCCCGGGCCAACTATGAGCGGTTTGTTCCTGCAGACTCTTTCATCCATGTGGACGACTTTGAATCCCTGGCAGAGCTGGCCAGCTTCCTGAAGACCATGAACTCCAGCCACTACCGGCAGTTCTTCGCGTGGCAGAAGAGGTACAGCGTGAAGCTCTACACAGACTGGAGGGAGCGGATCTGTACGATTTGCACCAAGTACCCCAGCCTGCCCCAGGGTCGTGTCTATCCCGACCTGGAGAGCTGGTTCAATGCCTAGCACAGGGCTGGCATGTGCGCTCAGCAATGTCTGGAGATATCAAGGATGCGTGTGGGCAGTAGGTAATGGTGAGGGGGAGAGTGAAATACCCTCCTGTGAAACAGCGCACTGAGCACGGAGTGACCCAGGGGTCCTGATCTCTCATCCCAGCCCTACTATTGCCACAGAACGTGACCTTGAGCAACTGTGCATGACTTGACTTCTTGCAAAACACGACTAAACCCCCCTCCCAGCTCCATACTGACCTACCTTGCCACGGTGTTTGGGATGACAAAAAGGTGCTTTGGAAATAAACCATGTGCTCCAGAGGCTCTGCCTGCCGCTCAGGGTGTGGGCTGGGCCGAGGGCTGGTGGGGGGAGCGGGAGGAATCAGCCAAGGCTCCCCCAACCTGCCTCTTTCCCCTCGTGGTCTATAATCTCTCTCTGGCTCCCTGACACCTTCTGCTGGGCAGTGAAGCCTTAGTGGGAGAGGCCCTGAGGCCACTTTTCTGGCTGGATCACTGCAGCCTGCTATGGAAGAGCTGCCTCTCCCCAGCCTGGCAGATGCCGGGACCTCAGGCTAACCTGGCATGTCCTGGCTGGGGCACTCAGCACCCTGATGCGCACGTTCCTGGCTCTGACAGCTTCTGCTCTGCCACTTCCTGGTGCAGTCCTGCAGCACCCAGTGTGGCCGCCCCTGCTTGCTAGCCACGGGTGTCACTGCACCAAGGAGGATGTGGGCTGGGAGGAGGCAGCGAGAACGGGCAGGACATCGGATACTATCTCGAGAGCAATCACAGCCTGTTCAGTGTGCGGCTGAGTCAGACAGAGATGGCTGTGGTTTCTCACTCCCCTTTGGCACGCATGCGGCACCGGCAGGAAGCCGTCGAGGCTGGTGTCACCCTGAGCCCTGCAGGTCGCCAAGAGTAAACCCCGCACGGTGGGCACCCTGCATGGTGAGCCCCCCGTGCACCACAAGCACCCTGCTACATTGGCACCCCTTGCGTCACGAGCACCCTGTGCTACACTCACCCTGCACCATGGGCATGCTGCACCCTGCGCACCCTGTGCTACCCACACCCCCTGCACCGTGGGCATGGGTAGCCTGAGGGGCCCTGCGGGAACCACCTGTCCGGGCTGGGGGCGGTGTGGGCAAGCAGCAGACATCAGAGCTGGGTGACAGCACCCAGCGGAGGGACCCAACTGCTCAGTCCCTGCTGTGCTCAGTGCACGGGCACCCCCATACCTCCCTCACTGTGCCTGTGCAGCTCCACGCCATTAATGATTTATTTGGTCACAAGCTTTGCTCTGCTTTCCCTCATTTCAGTTGTGGGGACACCCCAACCCCTCTCCTCGCCTGCAGCCCTGCAGGAGCTAGTGGTGGGTGACGCCACTTTACCCGGCCAGAGTTGGCATCCCCACCAGCCCATACGCAAAGGAGCCATGCTGGGAAACATCGCCCACCACTGCCCCCTCCGCTCTCTCCTTCCTCCAGCAGGCAACGCAGCACTGGACTGGAACAGACACCCATGGGTGCCTGCAAACCCACCTCACTCAGGTCTAAATCCTGCCTACCTGCCCCCTAAAAAGGGACCCTCCCACACACAGCTTCAGGGCAGAGCAGGTCACAGCCTGTATGGGGGCTCTCGGGGTCCAGGGGACAGCTCCGTGCCTACACAGCGTCGGGGTCACCCAGCCCTCCCCGCGCCTGCCTGGCAGCTGCTGCGCAGCCAGCTCAGCCCACCTATGCCGGCCTCATAAACCCCCGATTTCCCTGCTAGGAGGCCCTTTGCCCTTCCTGTTTGCCTGGTGCAGCCGGGCACGTCTGCCCCTGCCAGCCTGACCCTGGCAAGCAGCACCCAGGGCCAGACCAGTCCTCACGGCAGGGTGCAGCCAGCTCTGGCCCCGACCACCTCAAAAGAGGGGACTGGCCCAGCTCTCCCGGCTGCTCTCTGATGCCCCACGGCCACGCTCTGCACAATCCGCTTTGCTCTTGCAGGTCTCTCCTGGCAGCATTTCCCCCTTCGGTCCCCGGGTGCTGTTGGGGCTCTAGGCTCTCGCCTTGCATCCAGACAATCTCCAAAGCCACACCATCTCCTGGTCCCTTACTCCAGGCTTTACGCAGAATCACCGTGTTTTGTTTTCTCCGTGCTTTCTGGTCTCCTTCTGGTCTCCGTCTGCAGCTCTGCAAAGTCCCCCAGCTACAGCAACCTCTCTCGGCTTACCCAGCATCACCCAAATCTCTCTTACCCATTTCAGTTTGGCATGGCACACCAGACTCATCACGTGGCTTCTCTGTGGCTTCCTCATTTCATCTGCAGGCTTAACTAAAAACTGAACACCGGTGCCCCTGCATCGCCTCGGTGGGCAGGGCGCACCGGCTGGCAGACGTGCTCGAGTCTGCCGGTTCCCCTTTCCCTGCTCAGGGACCGGTTGTGGGGGCAGCAGCGTTGGGGCTCCCAGGGCCTTCCCACATCCTTCCAGGCCTCTGGCATGGATGCGACCCCCCTGTCCGACGTGCTTCCACCTGGCAGCACAAACTGCAGCACAGGGCAGAAATGCAGAGAGAAGCAAACCCAGGGGATGCGACAGCCTTCCTGGGCAGAAGCAGCCCCTTCGCACACAACGCTCGAAGGGCAGCTAACAAACAAATTGCCCCTCGCCAGACTCCAGCACCCCCCCCCACCAACACGGCCAGAGGGCCCACACGAAATGCCAGATTTCACAGGAAAGGGCTGCACCTGGCAGGGCGGTCTGGAGCCGGTGCAGTGCCTGGGCACGCGCCGCTGCCCCGGGCGCTAAACCTCGGTGCCCTCGCCGCGGGCGAGCAGCGCTGGACTGCTGGCAGCGGTGCGGAAGG